GGAAATGACGGTCAATCGGGTGGAGGCGACGGTCAGAGTTCCAGAATTGATAAAATATTTGGCGGATGGCTATCGGTTCGGATCAATGATCACAAAGAACTCGTTCCTATTATTAAGACTGTCTATCAGTGGAATATAACTAAAAGTGGAAAAATAATTACTGTTTGGAGTAAGCAATTGATGAGAAACTGTTTATCCATATATTTAAATCTAATCTAATATTTAGCGCTGGACCTCAAGAATGGTGGCGGAGCCGTATATAAGGGCAGTCCCAACACTGGAAAGGCTGACTGCACTCTCACTATCGACGAAGAGAGTGCTGTCAACGTGTTTGAGGGTCGCGAAGACGCTATGAAAGTAAGATTGAATTATCTGTAATTATAGGTATTTATAATAAATTCTGTGATTGAAGGCCTTTATGGGAGGAAAATTGAAAATAGCCGGTAATATAATGGCCGCACAAAAGTTACAACAACTTTGGTCAGAAGAAGCCCCGCGAGGATCGGTTTCTCTGGACAAACAACCAAATGTATCACCGAATCAATCATCAAATAATTTGGAAGATTCGGCACTTTTAGAGGTGTGACGGTTGAGTTTAATGCTATGTTTTTGACCCATATTTACCTCCACTTATAGTCTGTACCCGTCTCTGGCCTCAAATGTGATATCGTTTTTACGGTATTTAAGAATCGTATGCACGAAGAGCCGGATATTGTCCGAAAGCTTAGAGTTGTCTTTCAGTTTAATATAACTATTGATGGAAAGCATAGAACCACTTGGAGTGAGAATCCATACTTTTCTTTAAAAATATCAATTAATTGTTTGCCTTAATTGTAAAGCCTGTGATAATAAGTCGAAACCGGAGGGAGACGTATATATAGGCCCTCCGAAGGGTGGGAAAGCCGACTGCACTGTTACCGTCGAAGACGATGACTTTCTTAAGCTGATGGTCGGGAAATTGAATCCACAGCGGGTTTGTGTTCAATATTTGAATTTATAAAAACTGCAAACAAAAGTGAGAATGTGTTAATGTGTTTGATGTACAATATAGGCATTTATGATGGGAAAGCTTAAGATCAAAGGCAATATAATGCTTCTCCAGAAACTCAACTCATTATGGCTCGACTTACAAAAGGCAGGAAAAGCGCCGGAATTGCCGTTTTTAACAGATATGATGCTTAAGACGGTACGCAAAACCAGTCAACAAAATGATTACAAATATTGTTTTAATTATAATTTTAAAAATGCATAACTTCTAAAGAGTGTAATTCCGGGCCTCAAAAGTGAATCAATGATTGTTGAATTGGTTCAACGATTGGTACGTTTGCCTCAACTCTACACTCAAGTGCCGACACTTATTGGCTTTGATATCACAAAAGATAACAAATCTGTTTCCAAATGGAGTAAGAATTTGCATGAATATTATCAAAACAATGAACAATGTTATACTCAAATTGTGATTCAATTGTTAAGCACTGGATTTCACTAAAAACAAGTTGACGGGAGTGTTCGAGAGGGGATTGCCTGACAAAAAGCATTGCATTTTAACCATAGATGACGATGACTTCGTCCGACTCACCTTCAATCGCATTCAATTGCAAAACGTTAGATAAAACGTTACAATAATTGCATCAATTAATGACTTGATCTAATTGTTTAGTGCATTTCGAGCGGACGGATCAAAATAGATGGCGATAAAAGTGTGGCCCAAAAGATCAACATTTTGTTCACTACTCCGACCGCTAAATCCAAACTTTGAGAATTTTATAGCTTTATATGAGTTATGTTTTATCAATACTTTACGAATAGTTTTCATATAATTTTCTAATTTTTATACACAAATGATATATTAAAGTAAAAATCGGTTTTAAATAAAATATGATTTATTCTAATGTGGAAAACAAGTGATTATGATTTGCATAATTAATGTTTTTTGTTGGCGTGTTTTGCCGACACAATTGACTCGTATTTACTTTTGCTTTTGAACCACAAGAGGAACGGAATAACAAGAGATGGCAAAGTCATGACAACAAATGCAGACCAATCCAACTAAACATATTAAGGCAACAATTATTCATTAGTACATCAATCATACAATTTATCATTTATTAATCGTTTACCACATGAGGAGAAAATCTTCGGTCAAACTCTTTGAGAGAAACAATGAATCCTTCGCCGGGTTCTGAGGTATAGCCCAATTGGATGTCCTTCGAGTCCTCGTTCACCAAATAAGTCACTTCTCCGGCAGTGAAGTTAAAACGGCCCCAAATGCCAGCCTTTGGCCGAACCACTGATGTGTGCGTTATATTAGTTCCGCTAAAACAGGTTCACAATCAGACTTAACCATCAAAAGAGGCAATGCTTACGGCGCGAGTCGGGCGACCGTCACCTTCAGGACACCACTGATCACATCGAAGTGTTCCGTCGAAAAGCTGTTGTCCGATATGTGGACATCGATTGCGGGACTAAAGACACAACAATTGAGTTCAATGTCATAAACAATGCATTCATCGATACCTCTGTCCGACGTTAAAAATATTATAGTTGACGACAATGTCTCGGCTCTCAACCAAATACTTGTTGAGGATCTGCTTCTCGATCAGAAGTCTGGCCGGAGTTGTGGCCTCTTCTTCACCGCAAACACATCCACTCAATACCAGACACAGCACTGATAGCAGCACTCGTTTCATCATTTCTGCGGTCTTTGAAACACAATTAACGCAACGATTGAGTGAAGAGTTGTTCAAAACATATGAATTGAATTGTTATGCGAAGAGTGAGAGAGTATTTGCGACGAGTAGTGAATGTTTGGCATTAAATGCCATTTCGATGACACGTGGACTCCAACACCGGTTTCGATGCTATCGATCGCCACTCAAACCATACCATCGATTGTGACAATCGATGCGCGGATGAGTCGACAGTTGGGGGCAAACACTGCACTATAGCTCGCATTGACAGCGCATTCACAGCCTTTACAGCCATCGCATGCTTTGCCCCAAACGTCATAGCATTGTGTGTCCACTGATTGGTTGGTTGTGTTGAACGCATTGAATGCAGTTATAAGAGAGCCTATCGTTGCACTAAATCT